TGGCAAGGGAATGGCTGATGCTTTGAATTATGCACAGTTTGGGATAAATTGGCATTTACTTTGTTTCCCACAGTAGCAGTTTGTCACAAAACAGATTCTCTTCCTCTTTTGCTTTTCCTGCTCTGACCCCTGTGCAGCTCAGTCCCATTCAGAGGCCAGTGGAGTATTTCAGCTCTGTGCTATACGTCACTTGACCATGGTCCTTAGTAGCTTGTTCAGAACTATTCTTGTGCTGGCTGGGGCATTTTAGAGATGATTTTCCTATCTCTTGGGAGGTAGGTATATATTGGGGTGTATGTGTGTGTATATATATGTACACATACACACATATATGATTAAGGCAAATGCAAAACAAAAGACATTCACACAAAATGTGTATGGAATACATGTGCTGAAGATGCTTTTGACCTGGAGATTGCAGCACCTGTATGAAAATCAGATGTCGTGTAACTGTTCAGATAGCTTCCTCCATAGAGAAGTTCAGAAGCCCTGCCATGGCCATAGGGCTGTTAGGCCCAAGTCTTGGATAAATGGTTCCAAAATCCTTAAGAACACAAGGCCATATTAGTTTGGGAAGATGGCTGGGGACAAGTGATATTAACCCTATTCTTGAGAATTTTTTTTACTTCTAAAGAAAAGATTTATTTATCTTAAAGGCTTTTTTCTTGGGTGAGGGGAGCAGAGCTTTAGCCTTGTCATTTTTGATCAGAATTTTCTTTTACTCATGTTGGTTTCCATAATGGTTATGCTTGGAACTTACATGTACAGTTTTATAAACATTTTTAAAAAGTGATTATTGGTTTTGGGATTATCAGTATGTACATTCTAAATCTGGGGTGACTTGAAAGAAGGATTTGGATGATACGGATCCATGATGCTTGGTTTCTGAGCCTTCCCTGGCAAATCGTGATGGTGAGTAATTGATGACTAGAAGAGTGGGAAGAGTGGGTTCTGGCTAAGTAGTTTTTCTTGGCATTTGATTTGCTCCTGCTTTTTTTTTTTTGTTAAAAAAAAAAACCTGTATTCATTTATAACCAGAAATATGCACGGATATAAGTAAGATGCAATTTATCTTGTCTGTGTAATGAATAACAGCATAGAAAATCGTGTCTAGTGAAACTGGTATTTGCACCATATCTACAAAAACTTTTATGAGCAACCAAGAAATAAAGTTTGTAATAAAACTGTCACAAAATGCCTGGTGACATACTTTAGACATACTGAAGATGGTCTGGATTCAGCTGTCAGCTAGATGTGATCTGAGTAGTGAAGAGCACAGCCTTTAGGAGCCCTGGATTCAAGGCTTGACTTCACTACCTCACACCTTCCTTTTTAGTTTGTAGAAGCCGGCTGAGTTTGCCAAGCTTCAGGTACCATTTCTGCCATTAGGAGAAAAATGTGAATACCAGACATGATCCAGTAAGGTTAAAATTAAGCTGTAAGTTACCTTGTAGCTGAAAGGTAAGACTGGGAAGAGTACTGTCTTATCTGTGATGCCTATATGTATTTTAAACATCCAGTAAACGTTTGCTGACTAGGCTAACTCACTAATCTGTGAAGTTCCTACCTCCCTTGTGTCATTACGCCAGTATTTTGATTTAATATGCTAACGTTGTATTTAAGAGTGCAGTGTTTTAGAAGCAGATACCCCTTTCCTGTTATTTTGCCTAGGGTTAATAATAAATTTTGCTTACCTTAAACACATTCTAAGAGATGGGTAGCACTCTTCCTAATATTACTGCTAGTCAAATCAGAAATTCTTGGTAAGAAGGAGAGGTTATTTGAGGATAAATAATGTATCGAAGCGTAATAGATTTATAAGTAGAAGAAATTTGATTTGTTATTATAGCTAATCCTGACTGCATGATAGTCTGATCAGAGACCTGTCCAACAAGTGGGCACTCTATGGTAATGTTTATATCTCCGGTTAAATAAATAATGTCATTAAGTTTCTCATTGATTCATTTAGCAAACCTTTTTACACCTACAGCATGCTGGGAGTAAGGATTCAGAAGGCGGCCTGGGAAATAGATGAACAGGAGCTAAGTAGAACAGGCTTTTGACTTCACAGTGATCCAATCCCAGCAGGTACTGCTGTGCCTGAGCCTGATCTAGTAATGGATAACATGAAGGTGTAGGAAATGTGTATATATATGTGTGTGTGTATATGCACACATATACATATCTCAGAAGTGTAACTGCAAAAGGGTGGGCTTCCCTGTAGAGTCACTTCACTGTTTGGCCCGGTCAAACCCTCTCAGAACTCCCAGAAGCTCCACTGTAGCCCTGGAGTATCTCTCAACATTGAAGCAGTGATTTCTCAATCTGGTTGTACATTAGAGCCACCAAGATTTTAGAAACGTTTTCTAACAGAATAATAAAATTGGAGTCTTGGAATGTGGAGTTCAGGCATCACTTTTGTTTTTAAAGTTTTCTAGATGATTCCAGAATGTGGCTGAGGTAGAAGTTGTAAAAATGTTAGTAGATAGGTGGTGCCTGTAGAAAAGACAATTAGACCCTTATATAGGTGTAATTGGTAATTAGATTTATATTATCATAGAATAGCAGTGTGACAAAACTACATGATACAGTATTCTGCTTGCCTTTTCCTTCTCTCGTTTATTTGTTAAATCTTACTGATTTAACTAATTGAATACGCTAAACTCCCCAGTTCTTCATGTTACCTTTTGACTAGGGCCACCCACTTTCCTCAGTAATGAGTACTAATTATCATTGCCTCAATAGCATAGTTGTGTGTGGGAATTACTATCCTCATTTTAGAGACAAGAAAGCTGTGGTTCAGAGAGGTTAAGTAGCTTTTTCAGAGTCACACAGTAAATGGTAGAGCCAGGATCAGAACTCTATGTGTCTGTCTCCAGGTCCCATATTCTTTCTATCATAAGCTGGTTCATTGAGCAGACTTTGTTGTGTTCTGCTGATTTGAATCCTGACCAATGATAGTAGAACTGTAACACATCTCATAAGAGGAGACATTCTGCACATAGTAGATACATGATAAATGCTTGTTGGATTGGTAAAAAAAACTGAATGCATGAAAATACAATGATCTTACATGTGACTTTTTTTATGGAACTGTGAGTAAAATAAAAACCTGTGAATTTCAGTGTGATTGAAAAATAAACTTAGTTTTTAGCTCTTGCCCTTCTCACTTTTATTTTTGTTATTTTTGTGGTATTAGGAACTGACCCAGTGCCTTGCACATGTTATACAAGCAATTTATTGCCGACCTATATTCCCAGCCTTTCTCATTTTTTTAAAACAAAAAAAATTGCTAAGAGTGTATATGCTAGCAATGGTTACCCCAAATTCTGATCATAGTTTTCAAAAACAATCACAAGATTTCATTTGTGTATTAACAAGGAACCACATGTCAGGGTAATCAGAGTGGCTTCTGAATGCCCATGCTCAAAACCACTTGGACCAAAGGCACTCTGCCAAGAGTAAATCACTATCTTGCCTTATAATCTGGGGCAAAAATGCTACTTAGTTGTTTGCACCTTCCAGGAAATTGTCAGTTGTCTAACCGAAAAGGTTAGAAAATTATGCCCATTTTTGTCACCTTTATGTTTCTCACCTTTTCAAACTGAGAAACTTTGTCTTGGTTGAAAATTTAAGACCTCTTATGTGTGTGCTTTTTTGAATTCAACTGCTTGACGCCTCCAATTTTCTAAGAGTTGGGGCATTATTTGAGCCACAGGTGAGAAGGCTTAGACGACAGAGGACAAAACAATAGCAATGACAAAAAAAAAAAAAAAAGACTTGCTGCTCTTACTCCAAAAGTTTTCTGTTTTGTTATTTCTGTGTTTTGGTTTTTCCCCTTTCTCACATGTTCTCATTGGTTGGGATGCCCTCAGTATAAATCTCTTTGTGTTCATGTTATCCTGTATTTCTTATCTAGATCATATATGCCCCCTGCAGATAACTTGATTGCATTTGAACAAACCCTCCTCTAAAGTAAATGTGTGCATAAATAGTCATGTGTCATTTAATGACAGAGATGCATTCTGAGACATGGGCCTTTAGGCAGTTTGTCACCTAATGTGCATCATTGAGTGTTCTCACACAAACCTGCATGTACAGATAAGCCACTTAACATGGCCTCTTTCTGAAATTGAGAGGTGGAACACATGGGAAGCGTGAGACTGCCCCTGCTGTGTCATAGCATATTGTAACCTTTTTAAATGGAGTTTGATGAAAAGACTGGCATAGAAAACACATAATTCAGTAGTACTTGTTTGTTATTTTTGTCAAGTAGGATATAATCTACATAATTATATGTACTATACTTTTGTAAGACCAGTGCAGTGTTTGCTTATACTGGTATCAGTAAAACACAGAGTAATGCATTGCACTATGATGTGTATTACCTTGGCTAGGAAGTCACTAGGTGCTAGAAATTTTTTAATTATGTTAAAATCTTAGGGAACCACCATTGTATATGCTGTCTGTCCTTGACAGAAATGTTGTGTGGCACACAGATTTTCACCATTGTAGACCCTGAAATAACTGTACTTGCTAAAGTCTGTAATTGTATAAGGGTACAATTTGCAGAAAAAGGACAGTTGTGATTGATGCTTGCCATCTCCCCATTTTATAGGTAAGGAGACTGAAGCTGATAAGATCTGGCCCATTTTAAGCACTGTCAGTAGCTCAGCAGAGATTCATACTAAGTTTCTACAGCTGCGTGTTGCCTTGCCGCTGGTGCACTCTGGCTCAGGCAGGCCATGTGTAGTGTGATGCATTGGGGATATGTGTTTTCTAAAACAGTACTGCTTGCAGAGTTCTAACTGATGTTTCAATTTGCAAATATAGTAGACAGGAGATGAGAAAAAGACTGTGTATTTCTGGAAGAATTAACAGAGTTTTTTTTCTGCTGAGAAAATATGCTGGTGTAAATGACAATACCCTATGCCAAAACGAGTCTGTCTTATCAGTGGTGTAGAACTAATATATGGCTTTTTCCCCTTCCCTTTCATTAGGGCAGAGCTTGGGATATGGCTTTGTGAACTACATTGACCCCAAGGATGCAGAGAAAGCTATCAACACCCTGAATGGATTGAGACTTCAAACCAAAACAATAAAAGTATGTTTAAACATTTTTAAAATCTACTCATATGATAGAAGTTTAAAACATTAAAATTACTTGTAGTTCTTTCTTTTCTTCATTTTGGGCCATGCAAACACTTCTGGGAAACATGTAATGGGATATTTTTATGTTTGTTGCACAGTAGGGAACTTCATTCATGAGTGCTGTGTGTAGTCACTGACATATTAGCAAAGAGACAGAGTAGCAGTGTTCTTAGATAACTACTTTACGACTCCTACTAAATTAAATCTTTCTCTTACAGAAAATCACTTGCATGCTCACTTGAGGGACCCTTAGGCTTGTCTGAGTGCAGCGTAGTGGACTTGTTTGTAAGGGGACAGGTAGTAAGTACATGAAGCTTCATGAGGGAGTACAGTCTGTTACAACTTCTCATCTCTGACCTTGAAGCAGGAAAGGGGCCAAAGCCACTCCCTAAACGAATGGATAGGTCCATGATCTAATAACAGTTCATTTATGTACACTGAAACTTGAGTTTCATATAATGTTGGTACTAAATATTAATACTAAATACTACTAATTTATCAATGCTAAATACCACTAATGTGTTTCTAAATTTTTTTTTTTTATTTAAAAATGTAAAAATCATTCTTAGCTCATGGGTTGTGCAGAAAACAGGTGGCTGGCTGGATTTTGTGGTTGGGCGATAGTTGACTCTGACCTAGCAGGGAGAAGGACTAGAAAGCTTACATGACACACAGGTCATTTTTTTCCTGTTATTTTCTTTTCAAAACGTATATTTTGAAAGCAGGTTGCTTTCCTGCTTTTCTGTGTTTTTGAAATTCTTATGTGAATTCTGTCTGGATAAGAAGTTGACCCAGTCCACAGCATAAATTTCTTTTCCTTTAGAAAATAAAAGGATGTCATCGCTAGCAAATGGTTAGTACCTGTACCATCAATTTACCCTCTCCTGCCCGGTGCAGACACTCCAAATTAATCATGGCTCTCTTTCTTGTTGACTCTAGACGTAGCTTCCAAGTATTTTTCAAAATAGTGTTCCCAACAAGCTCTATCAATTGACTCAAAGTTGGAACCTATTTTCCACATCAGAAAATGAACTGGTTACTCATCAAACTTAAGCAAAAAGTTAGATTTATAACACAGTCTAATAAAGATTTAAGCTTGTTCTGATATATTTTTTTTTCAATCTGAATTGCTTTTTTTTTTACTTTTCTGCATAATTTTTGTGTCAAGAGATTCATTTTTTATAGTACTATTAA